GGAGCAAAAAGGACACCTTCCGCATAGAGGCCACCAGGAGCTGGGGGCGGCGCCGAAGGGCCTCTAAGTGTCCAAGGGATCCAGTAGTGACCCTGGATGTGTCTCACTGCTCTCACTGCTCTCTCTCTCTCTCTCTCTCGCAACCCGACCCAGGGCAACTCCAAAGAATGCGGCCGAACACATCGGTCGAAAGCGACTCTTCGCGAAGACGCCGCACCATCCAACCATTGGATCCCCAAATAGTCGGAGGAAAAAGAGAACACATCCACATCCACATCCTTCAAAACATCCTTCCATCCCCTCCCCCGGAACTCAGGTCCCAACGCGACGCCGACCCGCACCGCACCGCACCGATCCTCCAGGAGCCGCGCCGCGGCGGAGCGCCCGCCGTCGCCCAGCAGGTCGGAGACCTGCCGCGTGCGGCGCGACCGGCGAGGCCCGGGAGCCGCGGAGGGTCCGGCGGTCCGCGGTCGGCGTGTGTGCGGTCGTAAGTCTGTACCCCTTAGGGTAGGTATGGGGTGGCTATGTGCTATGTTCAGGCTGGGATAGGCTGGGTATGTGTGAGCGTAATGAACACCTAAGTACAAGGAACATGTGCTCTATAAAATCATAAGTCTGGACCCCTTCAGGTAGGTATGGGGGGTGGCTATGTGCTATGTACAGGCTGGGTATGTCTGAGGTGAAAAGGTTTGCTTTTCTATGAAATCCTGCGTTCAAACGTACTGGCGGAACGGAAAAACAGGCCACCTCTATAAAGTCGCATGCTTGACCCCGCTGGAGGACTTATACTCAGACAGTCTGTATCTATGAAATCCTGCGTTTAAACGTACTGGCGACATATATCTGGCCTGGACATTCTTGATAGCACGCCATTGTCTATTAAATCACAGTGCATTCGTCAAAGTTGAAAATACAAAATCACTATGAAATGGGGGGAGGACCCCCTGTCTAATATGAAATGAAATTTCTCTATGAAATGGGGGGAGGACCCCCTAGTTTCATATCCCTAGACTTCCAAGACCATTATAAAAATGGTTGACCTTGTTTTTGAAATGAAAAATCCTTAGTTGATTCGGTAAAGCCTATTAAAATAATTGTTGTTGGAAGCCTAGGGATATGTATGAAACCGTTTTATAGGGGGGTGGACCCCCCTCATTTCATAGTGGGGTATGGTATGGGGTATAAGTCATCCACCCAACGGATTCCCAACGTTTGTGGGGACATCGAAGCACACTGCACTTCAGCAGCATACACCACCCCCCACGGCCCACCAGCCTTCATCTGGAGCATCCGTTCATCCCAGGAAGCTTGGCCCACCAGGATGCTGTGGCAGCGGCCACGGAAGGGATCCTACCGACGCGCCCCGGGCTTCGGCCACCGGAGTGGTTCGGAGCTGTGCTCGATCGTGTGACATCTGAGGGCGACCGGTGGTTTCTATAAGGTGACTGGTGCGACTCGTAGGGAATAAGGGAATGAGCCCCCAATAGAGATCCTATTGGATCCAGCCACCCTCATTCCCTGCGAGTCGCACCAGTCAGATAAGGTGTCTGTTTCACCACAAGACTCGGGAGTTCTGTCAGAAGTCACCGACGCCCATTCTTGTGGTAGTCACTACTTGTACATAACAAGTGCTTCGTATACCTCCTCATCCTCTTCAACCTACACAACACCCACTATGGCTCCACACACGGAACGCAGCCACCTCCCCCGAACTCCCCCGCCCGGTTCGCGCCACACGCCACGTCTCTGCGGGCCTCGTTGGCGACCGCCACGGTCTGCGGGGGCGCCATCTTCTGCCCGGCCAGCAGCTGCAGCAGCGTCGACTTCCCCGCGCCGTTGGCGCCCAGCACCAGGCAACGAGAGCCCGGTGCCAGGCGGAAGTCCACGCCTGAAGCAGGCGCGGGCCATTGGCGGGGCGTTGCTTCCACGGAAAGGAACCAAATCAAAATGGACCGAGGAGATCCGGAGAGGACGCACGTTTTATATGCGAAAGGAACTAGATCAAAGGGAGTCCACCGGAGAGACGGCTTGCGTCCAGAGGAGCAACGGTTGCTTGCGCCTTCACCGGTGAGCATCTATACGTTCAATTAACCCACCACCCACCGTCCAAGAAGATGTTGTGATTTGGTTCAGAGCTTGAAGGATGATCAAATCGATAAAAGATCCAACCCACCCCACCCCCGAACCAACCGTCGGAAGATCCAACCACCCACCGTCCATGCCTTGCAGCACGGGCGGCGCGCCCGGCAAGTAGGCGAAGCTCAGCTGCGAGACGTCCACCGCCATCGGTGCGGGGTTCCAGGTGCAAAAGGCGAACGGCACCGGTCGTGCGAGGGGTTTCCGGTGAGGAAGAGACGCCTGGGCGACCAAAACACGAGTATATACAGTCTACTGCGAGGACTTCGCAAGGACGGCGCGAATGGTTTGGACGGCGCGAATGTTGGGATTTAGGGAAGTAGGGTTGTGACCAGACATGGAATATCCTAAACTTATGTCAATCAATTTGCTTCAGAGAGTGTGAAATCACTAGCAAGAAGCTACCCAGCGACCCTACCCTGTTGTTCTCCAACCTGAGCATGATTGTCATCTGCAGTGTCAAATTCGAGGCGAAACCATTTACCACAGACCTTCTGGAGAAAAAGCGACGTCAGCGAGGCGTGTCAGCCTGAACAGCTGCTGGGCGTGTCAGTCCGTCGAAGCCCTTCAAGGCCACAGGCAGTTGCAAAAGTTCAAGAGCCCCAGGCAATATCACCGAGGTCTACTCTGGAGGGTTGCCAATCTTTAGTCTTGTAAAACTGGGTTGCTGGCTCCTTCTACACACTAGTGGCGTCCTTGCTCCCTTCGTAGCGATGCCCCGTTTCCTAGTAGCTTCTTGTTACTAGTAAGGCGAGGAGCCACGTTCGTAGCATCCGATTGCTCCTAGCTCCTTCTACACACTCAGACATCTTGCCTCCCTTCCTACGCAGAGCAGGCAGGCGACGTTTTGGTCTTTGAGAAACGCCGAAGACTTCGCGCGTTGGCCTGCGCGCGGCGTTCTGATCGAAGGATCTGCGATGAGGGGGTCCCATATATTGAAATAGAGAGCGGTTGTTGGTAGGGAGGCAACATGTTGTCTTTCAAATGCTTTAAGAACATCGTATTCCACAGTGCTTTATGTATGTCATAGGCTCAAACACACATTATATAAACACACATGTTTGTTGAAAAAACAATTGGAATCAAAAGGCATTTGAATGGACATACATAGAAACCAAAAGGAACTTATATACAAGGAAATTAATAGGAATCAAAAAGAGTCTAAAGAAAAGTTATAATCAGATAGGCATTCAAACAGGAAATTCGAGATGAAAATGAAAAAGGAAAAGCATACACATCATTGCAGGGAATTTTAATAACAAAATCCCACCAGAGCCAAAGTGCAAAACAATATTTGAGGGAGTAATATTACTTAAATAATCTTAAACATGGAAAAGCGTAGACGTTAATCAAGGGGATGCTGTTTTTTATAAGCCAAAAGGGGCAAACATGATTGTAGGGGGGATATATGCTGATTCACATTCATTCACCATGTTTGATGCATATTACCCAAGGAAAAGTTTACATCCCTACCACCACACCTTCTGTTATAATACCGGGACCCATCTCCCCTGCCTCAACGATTCACTCTTCACCGAAGGGTGGCCGAACTGCACGCCGCTTCGGGACTGGGGCCTTAGTCGTAGGAGCCAAAACCCCAAACCCGACTGCCTACTGTAGATCGACAGTGACCCCATCGGAAACCCCCCAACTCGGAAGAAAACCAGTGACCGCATCCATCAGTGGGATGTTTTTGCTCAGTGGGGTAGCGCACTGCGGGCTCTGATCCAGCTCTTGTACAATTCAATCTCCTAAAGAAGAATGAATCGGTAGCAGCTTCCGACCACACAGAGCCACTGCTTCGGTTCGCCCTTCACCGAATGAATGGACCACCACATCCGTGAAACATGGGATTCTCTGAGTGGATGGTGAGATGATCACATTCAGAAGGTAAGAAATCCTGTTGCACAGAAGGTTCATACACACATGTACTAGATGAAACACCAAGTCAGCTAAAGCACAATCGAACGGACAATTGTTACCAAAAGCAAAACCAAAAAATCGCAACTGCCTTCGCTCTTCTGGGCAGCCTTTTTAGTATATAGTAAAACTCCCAAGCTAAGCCCCCTTCCTCAATTAATATATAGACCTTAGGGGGGCCGTTAGGTTTGTTTGGTTTCACCTTGCGGTATTGTTGAGTTTTGTAGAATGCCTGCAGCCCATGACGAGTGCCAGTCATACTAGAAGGTGCATGACTCAACATCTATCTGTTGGCCAGTCCAAGAACCTCTTCGGCTCAGCAAGTATTGCAAAACTAAGGGTTGCGATGGTTTCTGAGGGTACTCCAACTCCCCTGAACCTGCCGCTGCCTGCAAGCGTTAAGCCTCATGGTCTCATAGTTCAGCAGAAAACCCCGACGAACGATGCACGGAAAGGACACGGTCCGTACAAATACAGCTGGCTAGAACACCATGGACGCTCGACAACCCCTCGGTCGAACACTCTGTAAGATCATACCAATATGCTCCGTCACACAGTTAAAAACCTCAAAAAGAGAGACATCCCCTAGGGCTCCAAGTGCCTCTAAAACATATTTGGAGCCTCCAAACCTACCCCAAACACCTTCGAAACGAAGGTACTTGGAGCCCTAGGGATCCAAAAACGATCCTCGCCCCATCCCGTGTCGCCATCCCGGTCCTGCTCGGCCGTCCTCTGGGGACACCACGGAACCCGGTCCGTTCCCATGGGCTGTCAGACCTGAAGGAGTCCGACGAACACCTGGAGTAGCCGTTCCCAACGGAACCACCTCGGTGAAGGAAAGAGAGATCTGATCGATGGCTGGATTGGATTTTCACCACCACCACCAGACCCGGATCGTCAGAAAACAACTACCTCGGGGTCCTGAACCAAAAACCACCTGACCTCGGGTCCGGAGCGATACGCGTCCCCGGCAGACGCTTCGGAACGGCCAACCGATCCGGGCCGACCAACCGGGGGGGATTCGCGTCCGGTGAGTCAACGCGGTGTAAAGCAGGTCGCCATGGAACGAGCCTAGCAGTTTCCCTAATGACTAGTCTTTAATTGCTCTCATTCTACAAAAGATTACGTCTCACATTCTCTCCTGCACTTCAATTGATCCCATTCCAAGATTCATCAAGATTCCATGTTATGACGGCTATGAAGGTCCTGGCTAACAATGGCAGCCCACCTTTCATCAACGCTCGCCCTGTTGCTCTGGCTGAGTTCTGCAGTAACCCACATGAAAATGGCCAGGTCCCGGCTATATTGATGCTTCAGGGCCAAATGTGGCACGTCCTCAAATTCCCTGGAACCTGGGGAATGAATTTCACTCCACTTAAGTCAGTCATGCCTCCCCGAGACCTCACAAGCGACCCAAACACCCGAAATCCATCCATCCAACCCGGCAGCGTCCGGTCAACCGACCTTGCTGGTGGATGTCGTGTCCAAATCCAGGTGCCTGGGAGGCGTGAGAGGCGTTTCGCGGTGGACGTAACTGTCGGTTTTTTTAGAAAAAGACGAATGGCGAAATGACTTCGAAACGACTTGGAAGCTAGATTTGTGAAAAGAAGAACTGAATTTTATGAAACCAGATTTTCATTGAAACAAGATGTTCATTGAAAAGACTTCGAGACGAAACATGACGAAAAGCACGAAAGCCTTGACGCATTTTGACTGTTTCAAGGGCTTAAATTAATTCTTTTTGTGGACTTTGCCAATTCAGTTCACTCAAGGCTTCCATGACTTTGATGACACTCTTCTCCGGAGTTTTCAGATGATAAAACAGGCATAAAACTTTGAATGGCTGCATGGAAGCCTCACACATCAATGCAATTTTCTATTGCATAAGCACAGCCGCAGCCTCGGCTGCGCCGCCTACACTTGCTATTGCGCCTCCGGCGGCCATTGCATCGGCAATCGCTGCATCTTTCGTCAGAGTTTCATAGTCGATGGTCACATCGTACGGTAGCGGTATGCTATCGAAAGGCTTCTGCTCATAGCCCAACCAATAAAAGTATTTGTAGCCGACGCGTAGGAATAGGTACATGGACAGGAACAGCGACAAGCCGGCAGTCCAACTTAAGCGTTGGACCATGAAGCCTGAGAACAGAAAGTTGAAAAGCAAAACCTGGTGCGAAACGCAATTGGAACATTGGACATGAACACTCACAGCTGCTGCACTGAGCTTCAAGCTGCTCCGCATGTAATAGTAGTTGACCAGAGTTAGCCCAATGCTGGGCCCCGCTTCCGACATCACTTCGGTGAAAATGATGCCGTGGTACTTCCTGGGTGTCACATGGGTGTTCTCTGAGACACGCGTGCCCAATCGCAACGTGTTCGGACTTTTGGCAGCCGATGTTGCTGGAAAGAGTGATTCATATCCCAGATGCACCTCCCGAAGAAGGAGCAAGCGAATACTGTGAAGGATCACCCCCAAGCTAAAGACGGCTGAGAAGTGCAAGGAGGCCATGGCGGGAGCAACCAGCAGGATCATCACCGGCGCCAGGATTGCGAGGACGAGTGTGGCGAGGAGGTTCAAGATGAGCTTCTCTGCGGAATCTTTGTGGGCTGCAAAAATAGGGTGAAACCCATTGGCAAGCAGCATGTTCAAAGGAAGCCAGGCACACCTGTTGTAGGTGGAGGCTGTCAGCATGATTAGGTCTGGGCCGTATTGACCCAAGATGGTCAAAAGCCCTGCACCGAATGTGATGACCAATGAAGCATATAAAAAGGAACTGGAATAGTAATCATTCAAGAACGTGTTCAATACGTCCGATGCAAAGTCGGCTGCACTTACACTAATCTCAACAACAAGCATAAAGGGCTTCTGCCTTGCAAGGGCATAAACAATGGGAAACGCTAGGACTGCTGCGCTGATGCTCACCATCACGTTGGACGAGATTCCCAAGTTGAAGGGGGCCATTCCCTTGACGAAAGCTGGTGCGATTCCTGATTCGCTGGTGCGGAACCGGGAAGACACAAAGGATTTGTCCTCTATACCAGCACCCTCCAACAGGCTGTTAGTTGAGGCTTGTTGGACGGTCTCAATTGGTGACCTGTAGAGTCGGGTGCTGGTATAGATTCCTAGATTCCCAGGGTCACATGTTTCACAGGAAAATCCAGAAGAAACCCGAGTCCAGCCATCAACCAAGCTTCTCAAAGGATCAGCATCTGAGAGTTTCTGTAGGCAGCTGTGAGGAATTGAGCACGCCTGACCTGCAAAAAGACTCTGGTTGGAGCACTGAGGCACGGCAGCAGCATTTCCTTTGGAGTCAGGGGCAGGGACAACTCCTTCCAGGGCTAGAGCGCAACGTTCTTCTATGCAGAGGTTGTTGTGCGTCCCAAAGCCCTCCTTGCACTCCTGCACACGCGATCAAAAACGGATGGCTCGCTCTCCGGCGCAAACCGCGGAAGAGCCGCAACCGGCCCACGTCCCGAACTACACCTCCCCGACTCGCGCGAGTCGCTCCACTCCTGGCAGTGCTCTTGGCCATCCTTTGGGCACTGAGTGCCCCTTGAGGCTGTGCCATGGCTGCACGCGCACGTTCGTAGGTTGCAACTATTGTCATTCAACTCAGAGCCCTCATCGCAAGACTTGCAATGTTCTTTGCCCTGTGCGGGGCACAAGGTGCCCATGGAGCCCACACCACGGCTGCAATGGCAGGCTCGTAAAGAGCACGTTCCACTGGACCTTAGCCGTTTGGCTGCTTCCTACATTTTTCTACTGGTCCTGGTAGAAAATCATCATCAACCACCCGGAGAAAAAAAGGGATAAGAAGGTGACTTGATATTACTTGCGCTCCACGCACCATCAGCCATCAGGCGAGTTGCAAGTGATAACCATCATCACATGAATCACAATGTTCTGCTCCGTCTGATGGGCAAGAGGATACTGGTGAAGCCACCCCATTTTGGCAAACGCACGTCTTCAATCGGCACCCATTGTTTGACCTCAATCATTACTCAGCACTCTGCAAGCACACAGATATTGACACGTGCTGCTCTACAATTTCTTGTGGTTAGAAGATTCAAGGGATTGAAAGCTTGCTTGCAGCTCAGTCACAGGACATAGTCATCCTGACATGACTCGCAATGCTCTTGGCCATCCTTTGGGCAGCTCGTACCTACCGAGGCTTCTCCATTCTGGCACTCGCATCTGCGCAACTCACATCTTCCCCAGTTTAACTCGTAGCCGTCGTGGCAGTAGTCGCAGTCAGTCTCGTGGAGCGTGCACTGAAAAGCATGGATGCCTTCGGAGGAGAACATGCTACTTTGATTCATGGCAACTGCCAGTCCATGTTCGCAGGGGCAGACCGCCGTATCCGGAAGGAAGAACAGCACGATGCCCAGAAGTCCGACCGCCAGTCCAAAGGTAAAGGCCACCAACCCGACGGCGTAGGGGTAAAAGGGAAGAATGTTCACTCCAGCACCACCGCAGAACCAACAATTCGCACAACACTCAAGTGTCATGTCGCATCTGGTGCTTTCCCAGGCGTCACCGCACCCTCTGCCACGATACTCGTAGTGGTAGTCATACTTCGGATCGCCCTCCGACGACCGCAGCCGCCGCCGCACAACCACCGGCGGACCGACCACCGGGACCGGTGGCGGGACGGGCCGAAGCCTCAGCGAGGAGGGCGGGACGGCCATGGCGAGGACGACCGGAGCGACTGGTTCGGAGTCTGCAGGGTCAAGGAAGAAGTGTTGAAGGCATTCGGATTCTGCAGATTCCAATCAGATTCCGGTTTCTTTTTTGAGGCGTGTTCAGTTGCATCCACTCAACGTCTGCTGGAGGTTTTTGAGAAAAATCGAGCCAATGAGGGCGTCAGCCAGCAGAAATCCAGAACAAGCACGACCTTGACTTCCCCATGGTTAACCTCATACAGTGATGGCAGGATGAAAAGCATCCAACAATCTTTAACAATCTTTGGGTCTGTGCTCTTTCATCAAAGTCAAGACGGTAGTTCAGTGCGCTCGTGACGCGCAATCTTGCTAGTAAAAACGTCCAGCCTCCGTCTTGCTAGCAGCATGCCACGTCTTGAAAGGATTCCTGGCATGCGGAGGCCCTTTGGCCACTGCGACAAACGATCTAAAATCAGCTTCGAACAAAAACCTGGGGAAAATCAGCTTCGAGCTTGTTCTTGCCACCGGAGCTTGCTCGCTTGCTGCTTGACATGCTCCAAAGCAGTGGAGCCCAACAGCCCAAAGGGAGCCCAAAGGGGGGTTTATTCATCAAGAGTCTACATGATTTACATCCCAAAAAAGACTGCTACGACCCGAAGAACTGACCTGTGGAGACCCGATACCGGCAAAGAAGTCCCTGGATCGGTCGAACTGCTTCGCCGCCGGACGCACAGAACGAGGTTCGCCGCGTGTTGGATCGGAGGGCTTTGGGGTTCGCTCGGGTGACTTCCGCGCGCGAGATGAGATGGATCATACGGCAAATCCCGGATTGACTTCCCCCGAAAAGCGTTTTTTTGAGCGAAAAGGCCCGGGTCCAGATTCAGCCGTCTACGAAAGAACGCAATCCAGAAGCATAAACCGCTTGACGGTTTGATGTGTCCACCGCTACCACTTGCAACCAATCAAGCTCTTTTACGCCTACCAATCGCCGGGCGATCGATCTTCTGCATATTCTACAGTTGACACTGCAGAAGCCTCTCTTTAGTCTCTCTTGGGACGAAAAATATCTTTCACTGGTGCATGAGGCGAAATCACCAATGGTACAAAAACCGGCTGTCGGGTGTTGAGGGGTGGATCGTGAAGGGCAAGCTCGATCGGGGCTTTGAAAGCCGTGTTAAACACTCCATGTTTGAAGGGGCTCCAAAATAGGTAAAAAAGGACTACTCGAACCCACAGGTCAGTCGGACCTCGTTTTACTGAAGTTGATCATACACAATGAGGTTGTCAGGACCAGATTTCCCTGGGTCTGACTGGAGCTGTAGGGAAAGAGATCCAATCAGTCCGCGTGGTTGAACCACCTGGAAGTCTGAAGTGGAGTAAATCAAATCACTTCAAACTATGACCACATCTGACGTGCTTCGGGATGAGTTGGGGAGTTGGGAGTGTTCCGAATGTTCTGAAGTTGGTCAGCCGCCAACCAGCAAAGATCAAAGTCAGCAATGCGCATGCTCTTGCACGGGAGTAGAAAAGCAAAGAACCTGGGGAAATAAGAAAACAAAAGAAAAGACTTATGCGGTGCCAATAAAAATGAAACAAAGGGACACTTGTGCACTACCAGTCAAAAGGAAACAAAAGGACACTTAAGCAGTGCCAAAATGATTCCACTACTACCGCATACCCACCTAGCTCCAAAAAAAGTTTGTGAGTGCCCCCCCAGAAACTTGCGATCACGATCCCATCGCCTGTGGCCGATATAGAGGGTTGTACATTCAGTCAGTGATGAGAATGAAATCAACACGTAACACGGCAAACGCACAAGATAAAACATCTGATGTCGGCAACCTAGACAAAACTATCCCTCAAGAAAGAATGAAACATCATCACAATGAATCTGACGATTCCAACACCATCTCAAAACAGGACGCGACAGATCCATCTCCGACCTAACGAGGATGCAAGTTCGCGGAGTTCATGGTGGAGCCGGAGTTATCCAAGAAGTCCTCTCCAAAGTTGAGCCAAAGCTGATAGGTTTCTCGTTTCTACCACGCCAGCAAGTGGCGAACTGCTTGGGTTCCAAATCAAACCCTAAGCCCTAAACCACAAATTTGATTCCGAGATTGGTTCATACATCACCTTTGAAACGCGGTTTGGCTTAGGTTTTGAAACCAGGAGATCGAGATCGACTTCTTTGAGACCATCAGGGTGTTGGCAAAAAAAGGACCACGTGGTGTTGGACCACCGCGACGATTGATGCCATGAACCATGAACCAAACCGTTGCATGCGATTGAACATCCATCACGTTGCTGTGTGTGCCGATTCAAGAAACGCGCACACAGCGTGCTGTGTGTGTGTGCCGCGGTTCTCGACGGTGGACCCGCACCCCGGTATGCTTAAGTCCACAAAGCATTGGCTTGGTTGCCGCTCCCCCAAGGAATCTGCGCGTTACCCAATCCAAGCGAGTTGGTGTGTTGGTGTCACAAGCGCACCGGCTGCATGTGGATGGCTTTTGAGGAGTCGGCAAATCCAAGCGTTACTGCAAGTTCCAACATACAAAGTCGCACATGTCCAAACAGCTGTGCGAATCATTCCATTTTCCTTGAAAAACAGAAGCTCTATCCTCTTGAAAAGGACCAAGTGGGCTGGCTAAGACCCAACATCACTTCTTCACCAAGTCCAGTTCTGAACGCAAGTTGACTTCGCTTGTCATTCAATTGTGCGCTGACTTTGCAAAGATTGTTGTGATCCGTAGTGGCTCAGCAAATAGTTTGACACTGGACTCGTGTTGCCCCGTGGTGTCTAACAAGTAACCAACAGCAAATTGGTCGAAACATGACCAGTCCAGTCCAACACCGTGTTCGTCGGCTTCCAAACACCACTCGCTCCAGGTGTCTCTGGCGTCAGGCAGGGACAGGTCAGGTTCTAATTGGCCAAACACCTGAACCCACTGATCTTTAATGCATCGCGCACACTTGCACCCATGGAAGCTCCCCCAAGTGAAGAGCTGAAATGATCTATTTGCTGGCGTGGTTGATGGCACAATGCGCTAGAAACAGTGGATTTATCAAGGCAAATCGAATTGAGGAAAAACGAGGAAAAACGATGACGTGTTTCGCACAGCTAGCAGTTCTTCGAACTGCAAGTCCAACTGTAATTGTCAGATTCGTGGACATCAAGTCATTACATCCATTTGCGGAAAGCAAATGGTTCATAGTCCTATTTACCAGCATCAACAACAAATCCAGTTCTGATCTTGAGTTCCATCTGCAGACACTCCCCGGGCACATGTCAGAAAGTTGTCATTGGCATCATTAAAGCAGACAATCCAAATATGGATCTGCCTTCTGTTGCATAGTGGAATTGTGTGGAACGGCTGCGCGCAATTAATTTTACGTCCGAGGCGCTTGTGGACATGGACATGAAACATGCATGAAAAGCCTGGGCATGTGCACCCCTGGCAGTTGAAGGCCGGCGAGGACGCTCAAGGAAATCCAATGTGCTGGTATCAGACTCAGAAAAGCAGTGAGTCTACGTCAAATGGTTTAAACTTGCAAAAAAAGAAATACTACTCCACCCCCAAATAGCCTGTGGAAAAGTACAACTGCTCAAATCTCCTGCACCTGCCTCAAAAAGTGGACTAGAGACCACCAAAGCACGAAGAAATCGAAAATCCGCCACATCGCCACGGATTTCCGTGACCACCAAAGCTGGACAAATGTGCGCGGAGCAAGGGGAATTAATCATTGCACATCATCCATTGATAAGATCGACTTTGCTTCAAGAACCTGATGGGTCCATCATGTTCTTGAACCTTATGCTTCCACCTTGGTAGTTTCACCACTGTCTTTCCCAAAACATCGTCCCACCCCCAACCCCCACGCTCCTGGAACGCCTGCTGAGTCGCAGCAGCTCCGAGCCGACCTGCTCTGAGCCTCACCGACGAACGGGTCGTCGAGCACATGGCGGCGCAGCACGCCGGCCGTGCCAGCGGTGCCAGCTGGTGACACATGCGACCGGTTTGATGTCAGCGGTCCCATGGCAACATCAAACCAAGCTTGGGAATGCTTCCTGCGGAGTTTCCCAGCAATCTGATCACCACAGCATCGAGGGAGCAAAACACATTGAAGGAACGAGCTCCGCAGTTGGGCCGATGGGCCTGTCGGCGCTTGGAACTGGAGCCGCAAACGCCGTTGAACACAGGTGAAACCTCCGTCCTTTTTGGCGGGGAGGGGTCCGTTTCACGGAGCACGGTGCCCATCCTTGCCCCATCTTCCGTCCCACTCGCCCCTGGAGCCGCACCCTGCAGCCTCCAGCAGCCGCGACGGGTGCGACGACGCCCGTCCCCTCAAGCCGCGGATCTGGCCATCCCAATGGCATGCAGGTGAGAAGGACACGGATCGGCCCACGTCGGACGCACCGAACTCTTTGGGCGATTTCTGCGGAAGGAGGGCGGAAGGAGGCGGGAACAGACACCCCCAAAGACCGATCGGAATATAAATCGCCTGAAGAAGAACCAGAAGAACCAATCCAGTTGGAAAGAACCTCGGCCGCCCGGTTGGGTCTTTCTTCTCAGCTCTCCTTCTGTTTCGGAATCCCTTGCGTTTCTTCCGGTGTTCTTCACCCAGTGCCGGCCGCCCTCGCAGCTCGGACGACATCCAAATCGAAGGAATGGGAAGGTTGGGCAGGTCTCGCCCAAGATCAAGTCTGGACCTCAGAAGAGGACCTCCGGACTGACCCCACCTGACCTGAAAAGTCCCACGGCCTCAGGGCCCCAGGGGCCAAGGGACTCGTGTGCCAAGGGACGGCCCGCGGTACCCATCTCCCGGAAGCTCTGCACAGCTCTTGTCTCCGCACTGCGTTGTGAGCGTTGTGAGCGTTCCGTTGGATGTGGTTCCACAGTATGTACACGTGTTTTTTCGCTCAGAAGCTCTTCACACCAAACGTGGGATGCGGCCCGTGCGAAGGACTGGGAACATCACCGAAGGACTGCCAAAACTCTCCTCATGTTGTCGTTTCTTCCATGATGCCA